ACGTCATTGACGAGACGAGACTAACCTTTGAGGAGATAGTAGGTAAACAAAGGAGATTCTAACTCGGGTCCTCTGAGGAGGGGCGAGAAGTGAGAGGGTACTCGCATCGCGAAGGGGTCCGCAGGTAGAGGAGGGAGTGACGTCACAGGGGGAAGGGGAGGAAAATAACAGTGGGTGACATCGCGAGGGTGGCGGTGGGGAGGAGGGGACGAGGAAATTCTCGGGAGGATTTTTCTCTGCAGGAAATTACATAGTCAGAAATTACGTACCTGTCTCTGTTTCAACTCCGCAAACAGTGACCAAAATCAATGAAATTGTGCGCGGAGATCGTCGTATGAGCATTCGGATGATTGCTGAGACTGTAAACGCCGATAAAGAAACTGTCAGAAAAATTTTACATGACGAATTAAACATGAAGAAAGTCTGTGCGAAGTTGGTCCCAAAAAATTTGACCCCTGACCAAAAGCTCGTTCGTCAGCAGATCTGCTCAGATTTTCTTGAGAGATTAGATGATGAGCCTGAATTGATGGAAAACATCATCACTTGCGATGAAACCTGGATATTCCAATACGATGTTGAAACTAAGCGGCAATCCATGCACTGGAAAACTCCTGCATCGCCAAGAATGAAAAAAGCAAGGATGTCGAAATCAAAATTTAAAGCCATACTAATCGTTTTTTTCGACATCAACGACATCGTGATGACTGAATGAGTTCCAGAGGGTCAAACTGTAAACCAAACTTACTATTTGACAGTTTTGGCAATACTGCGAGAGCGAGTTCATAAGAAACGGCCGGAATTGTGGAAAAACAAGTCGTCGATCTTGCACCAGGACAACGCACCTGCCCATAACGCGCTGTCTGTGAAGCGTTGTTTAGTCGCTAGAGTGCTCGAACACGCGCCGTACTCGCCTGATTTAGCACCCTGTGACTTTTTCCTGTTTCCGAAGATCAAGTCTGCCTTAAAAGAAACCCGGTTCGAGTCGATGAAAAAGGTGAAGCGAAAATCGGCGGAGCCGAATGCTCTTACAAAAGAAGACTTCCAGCATTGCTTTGACCAATGGAAAAAACGAATGGAACGGTGTGTGGCGAGGGGAGGGGAGTACATTGAAGGGGAGCATTCAATTGTAGAATAATTTTTAAAATAAAACTCTTTTTCATAAGCAGTCTCGTTATTTAATAGCCAGACCTCGTACATCGGTAATTACTCCCCTCGGCATTTTTAACATTTCATCGATGTTTTTTTTTCTCCGCGCGATATCATGTCCCCGCTTGTAGGGAACGAGATAAACACCGCGGCCTTCCATGATGCGATTATGATGTTGCAGTTCTTCCAGCTGACGCTGCGCCGCTTTGTTATCGTTTACTGCCTTAGCGACTCCCGCCGCGTCGCCGACCAATGACCCGAGAATGCCGCGCAGCGGTAGAACAGGCAAGACGCATTTCGTTGTCGGAAGTATCCGCATGCTCTTCTTCTTTTTCTTTGTCGATTTCAACCCATACCAATTTTCGATTTGGCCTTAGCTGCCCAAACTGCTGTGGTTGCAGCTCTCTCTCTCTCTGAGAGTCGAATCACTCATGATAATGCGTTTCCGCGCCTTCTCGGCGAGTATATTGTTAGCTGCGTGTCGTTCCGCGAGAGCGTTGCTTTGCGAATACGCTATGTTGCGCTCGCGACACGCAGCATCCAATAAATTAATTCCTTGAGCACCTCTAGCCAATCGCTTCTCCAATCGCGTTCCTGGACCGCAAAACTGATATCTGAGAATATGTAGTTCGAAAGGAAGCGCATTTAGCAAGCCTCTCGACAACATTCGCTGCAATTCTTTATTAGAGGCGTCGGACCGGCGATATGCGTTTGATGACTCGGTA